CAAACAATCAAACATATGGATCAATGTACGCTTCCGCTTTTATTTAGTTATTCTCATTGATTTCAACATGGATGATTTGTATGTGTGAAAAGAGTTTGTAAATTTTAAGTTTTGATAATGGTTTTTTTGGATCGATAATCATTTTCTGGTTTTCTATCATTAAGAAATCAATGATATCAAGAAAACATATTTTTATTAATTTAGCCCGTGTTTGGTAATGATTAAAATAGAGATTTTAATTTAATTTAAAGTCAATAATTAATTTTATTCACATATTCTAAGGGATCCACAATTTTTTATTCACACATTTTATCAAAATTTACTAAAAATATGATTTTAATCCCCATCAAATAGAGTTTAATTTGTAGTTCAAATTGAATTGATTCTTCATTCTAAAGTTCATGGCTTTATTCCGAGATTCTACAAATTCCTCAATACATATACATTATTAATTAATTATAGATAACATAATAACTTTCTTTGGCTGTACTTCATTAAACCATATTTGTACAAGTAGCATAATTGTCTTATTTAGCCTCTATTTGAGTCACATTAAAATTTTTATTCTCATTCTTCTACTTATTTTCAATCACACATTTTTCAATAATATAATATTTTCTATCACATCGAAAATTTTTCTTTCTTTTTTAACTACACATTCTCCATCAATCTACTATTTTAAAATACATTTTTCCAAAATAGTGTGGCACAAACACACTCTTATTTTTAATTAATACCATCTAGACTAGTTACATTGATTTAAAATAACATTACTCTTTTTTAAAATGTTGGAATTGTAGGAGTTACATAGATGATAGAACCATGATATTTAGGAAGAAGACAAATTAAATAATGAATACTTTTCTTGATATCGTTTTTTTCCTTTTTGTGTGTGTGGACTTTAGCATCCTTATTTATTTTATCATTTTCTTAACCACTTTTTGTTAATTTTAGAGGGATGATCATCAATTTTCAGAACTTTATTACATAGTTTTAATCAGATGAAGACGAACCTCGATACTTAAGGAAGTAACATTAGAAGTAACTAAAAGTCATATAATTTTCAAAAAATTAAATGAAATATTCGAGGAAATCAAATTCCCTCGACTAATAACAAAATTTTACTAGAGTAAAAGATAACAATAATAACTAAATATGACAACGATTCATATCCCTTTGTAAATATGACAACGATTCATATCCCTTTGTACTTTATATCTTTTGATTTATGTAATTTTCTGTTTTTATGCGTTTTAAATTTGACGATACGATGAATGTAAATATGATATGTGTGCCAAGGCTATGTTTGAGTTGCAAACTAGCTTTTACAGTTCATTAATTCTTATTCTCTCTCCATCTCTACATTCTCTTAAAGCCAATAGTATTGAAAATTTCTGGTGTTGGTGTGTTCGACAATGGTGTTATTCGACTTGCCAAAAATCCTGGTGAGTTCGAATTAAACGTGGTTTGCTAATTATCTTTTCAAGACATTTGAGTTTCATGATTTTGGTACCCAGTAGCCCTCTCTAACGTTGTCACAAATATGAACTAATAAATGTAGGACATATACAAGGTTTATTTAATGTAACATGAATGTTGTTTAATTTGACATTGAAGGTTTGTTCATGTTGTCTAAATGTTAATTTGTTGACATTGAAGGTTTGTTTATGTTGTGTGTCATATGCTTTAGGTTTTATTCAAGGCTAAATGTTATTTTAAGTTATTGTTAGTCCAAGAAACACAATGTCACTTTTGATCCAACTTACAAGACCACTTCTTTGGACAAACTCAATGGGTTTAACCTAAACCACCAAGACATAAATATCAGATACAAATGAGATGATCCTCGAACAATTTGATCATCAAACTCTAGGCTCTGCGCTCTTTACCAAGTCTAGAATATTGGTAGCATCATCCATTCGAAATAAGTAGAGTAATCATATTCCTAATCATCAACAAATTATAACTGACTAATCTTCAATAAACTTATTTGATATCACTCTATCTCCAATTACTCGTGAATCTTGAGATATCATCACTACTATCATCTAGGTGATTACAACCACCACCCTATAAATATCATCAATGGTAAAAGTACGGGTTAAAAGTTCAAATGGTCATGAACTTTGCACAAAATTTTTAATCGATCATTAAATTTTAAAAAAAATTCGATAGTCACCATACTTGTCGAATGCCATTAAACTTAAAAAAAATTCGAATGGTTACCAGCGTACTTCATTAGTTCATCAATCACTAAACGACTCATTGTTAGAAAATTCGACGAACTAATTGATTCCGTCATTAGCTCAAGAGGCTCAAAACGCATAACAAGGCCAGAAAATAAGCCCAAATGAAACACAACGTCACTTCTAGCCCAACTAGCAAATATTCAAAAGACCTTACGGTAGCAAAATTTGATTTGAATGCCAGCCATAAAGTCGGTGAGAGTTACTAGCAAAATTTGACTTTGATCAGAAACTAACGAAAAGTACTACCAAGAAGATTGTAGTTATGATCAGAACGAAACTTTTTACCAAATGTCTTTTAATTGTATATTACTCTTTACCAACCACTCTTAACGCAACGCAATAGTTTGATTGAACAACTTGCTTCATATTATACTCAAAATAGACATGAACCCATGTCCCTAAGCAAAACTACAATATGAAAATGGCTGCATTTGAAGCCAATCTAAGAGCTTTGCAACTCGGCTGTTTTGCCAAGAACCAACCCATCCCGGGTAGCTACTGCAACATCTCGACAGAAGGATGACGAACCTCCCTCCTCGACTGAATAGACAACACTATATATGGTCCCTAATCACAGCAACTGTGGCGCCATAGTTATCATCCCCAGTTGTGCAATACACCAACATGTCCACCAGATCTCTGGTTGTCTCCACTCCACTCGATCCCAGGTTCGGGTGGATATCCATATCCTGACGGTGGTGGTGGTGGTGGTGGGTACCCACCATAAGACGGTGGTGGTGGAGGTGGGTACCCGCCATAAGACGGTGGAGGTGGGTACCCGTACCCGGGTGGCGGCGGAGGATATCCTCCAGGTGGTGGGTACTGCTCTGTAGCCTGGGCAACCGGATAAGGAGGATATACTCCTCCTGGGGATGGAGGAGGATCCGCAAAGCTGGGCCCTACAGCAGGATATGTTGTAACAGGTTCCTCGTCAAGTTTAGTGGCGCCAGGAACAGGTGCTGGTGAAGCAGTCACTGCACCAGCGAACTTATATGAAAAAGTTATTTGACCTTTAGGTTGGCCATTAGGTTTCCTCACTTGGTAACTCACAAATTGCTGCTGCTTTCCATAGTTACCGGTGGCCGCCGGAGATTCAAGAAGGTCGTTGATGGGTACATGGACTTCGCCAATATCTTTATCGCCTAACGCACGCTCACAAACAAGCTTAAAATCAAGAGCAAGAAGGTTCTTCCGGAGCTCTGCCTCATCCACCGTGAACCTCATACGAGAATTCCATGTGGGGTTGGTGTCGCCGTCTCTATCCACCGGCGTCTTCATCGTCTGCTTCGATTTTTTGTCCGCCCCTGAGAGTGAAACCACCGCGAACACGGCCATCTTCGTTATTAGGTTCACCTTGTTGAGACCTTTACCAGATATATAGTTAATTTCCAACGTGCGATGATCCATAACGATAATAAAAAAAAAACCGAAGAAATTGAAAAGAAAGTTTTCGTTTAGTATTTGGTAGAATTGAGGAGTTTTAGAGAGAGAATTGGCAAATGATCAATCAAAATATCCGCGGTGAATGAACAAATTTATGTCAGTTTTAAACACGTTTCGAGGCGTTACCTGTTGGCTTCATTTAGTTAAGATAACAAGTAACCGTGGTTGAGTTTACAAAGTGTGGGCTTATTGGGCTTGGTAAGTGGTTCTCTTTAACACTTTTATGGGCCGAGTTTCTATTATAATCGTTGGATGAAGATCTACGGTTGAGATCTAAGTGGTTGAGATATTTTTTCTTTGGCTTCGACCTATATCACGTGGGTTTGGCTTCCTCGAGACACAACCTCTCTTCTTCTTCGATCTCCAGCCTGCTCTCTGGGTTCTTCTCATTTTTCCTTGTCCTTGTCGACCACTTAGTCCATAAACTGATGAAATTCCTCTGGTGTGCACTTAGACCTGAAACAATGGTTAAGTGGTTGGGTTTCTCTGGGGCTTTGGGTCAGATTTTTGGGGCGTTCTTCTTGGCTGATTTGGTAGACCGAACGAAACGAAATAAAATGATGAAATGAAATAAAATGATGATCTTTGGTGAAACGAAATCAAATAAAATGATGGACGAGTATTGAGCAAAAAACAAAAAAAATTAAAATTCGATGACATTGTAATAAATCCTTTGAAAGTTCAATAACCAACGAAATAATCAACCCCGTTTTTCTTCCTTACAGGTCACATCAACAAAACGTTTCCACGTGGTTAGTTGCAAAGGCAACTTAGATACTTCATCGTTGATTAAGATGCATGTAAGTCTAATTGTTTAATAGGGTTTTTAATTTTTCCAACTATGGAGCAGTCAAACGAAGGAGCTATGGTATCTTCTAGAATTATATTTTGACCAAATTTGGTTCTCGAAAGACTAGGAATATGCAAATGAAACTTTTATTTATATCTCGTTATTGCTCATAGCCTATTTATTTATGATTTATAAAATTTGTACATAGCCAAAAAAAAAAAAAAAAGAGTTTATGTTGTCGACATTTAAGGTTAAGCATATATCCCATAATAATATATCTTCACTCATTAAAAGTATTGCCAGAAACATGTTTTAATTATAATCTTGTCCAAAATATCTCTAATGACCTAGAGTAGTAGTCATAAATAAAAGTCATCGAAACTCTTAGAAAAGTATTTCATTGACTGTTTAAAGAAATATATCAATATATTTTTCTCAAGTCAAGAGTCGCTTCCATTTAAAATGAACTTCTTATTAACAAAACTTTTAATGTGAGAATTTTGTCCACTTCACCACTATAGAATTTTTGTCATAACGAAGGAAAAAAGAATAAGAATTTCAAGACTTTCTCACACCTCTCCAACCTTATAAAATCCAAAATCTCACTCTCATATTTCTTGTTCAAAAATCTTTGACACGAACCAGAAATGAAATTGTAAGATGAAAATGTGTAATAACATATGATGTACACCAGCAGGAAAACAAATCCCATGTAATACCATTTTTTGCAATTTTAATGAAATCTTTTACCATCCCATCTTGACAGTGTACTTTCTACCTAAACTATTGTCTTTCCTGAGTACACTATGAAGGAATGCAAGCAATTAGGAATATCAGTAATCTTAAATGCTAAGGTTTCAAAATCTATGACCAGCCAACCGTATTACCTATCCATATTACATATCGCACCTAGAAATCAAGTCATTAGTCATTATTCCTATGTCACTGTCTCAGTGTCTCCTCAATGTATTCACACACCTAATTCTAACCATAATGTGAAATAACAAAAAGTAATCAAGATAAACCAAGTACTCTACTTTTCCAATTGTCCTGCACATGGTAGAGTCGATCAGATGATGCACTAATATGTAATCTATACGGTAAAAAAGAGGAAAATAAAATAAAACATGGCTTGCATGGGCTAGCCAGCTAGCCAATTTTACTATTTTAGTATATCTATCTGTGTATATATGTATCTATTGATCCATTGCCAATGGCGGATACTTCTTGATCAGACAAAAATCAATCAAAGGTCCCCAGTAATAACACCGATTTCTTCAAATGATTAAGCCTCATCTCTGAGACATTTAGGGTCAGCTAAATGTATCGCAAGCAAAACCTGCATCCACTTATCCACAGATGCAGTAGCCACAGATTACAGTCACACGAGAAAATATAAAAATTTCAGCAGCATGAAAGAACCAAGAAAAGCACTTTAACTTCGTTTTCTGTTTGAACTTTTAAGCAGAAAAACTGACTAGCCACTGCAATAACAACGAGGATCCTCTAAACTATTCCTCTGTCTCAATGTAGCAGTATTCTTCTCCCATATCCCATTTATTGGTGTTCATAATTTCAGATGAAAGTATACTCAATAATATTAAATAAGGGAAAAAAGTGAAAATCTTTCGCCGCTCAGTCCTCTTTTGAAACTGTTCCCTCAATTCCCTATTGCAGAACCTGAATTTACTGATGTTGGGAAACTAAATTAAGTGCGACTACACAACAGGTAAACCATGAAGGTCTAGATGCCCTGTTCTCTTAACTACTGGAACTTTTACTTCTCCGCCGATTTGCGGTTAGAAAACCATTTGCCAAAGCTTCAAGTGCTCTGATAGTTGGAGGCCGGTTCCTAGTGCTATGCCTTCGCATATTCATGTTAGGCTTCTGCTTGTAACTAGCCTCAGTAGCAGAGGAATTTTGTGATTCTGTTGCTAAGAAACCATTCTCCAAGTCCGGGGGAACTTGAGGAAAATTAAGGTCAATCGATATCTGAGTTTGAGGGTTCTCTAGAGGGGCTTCTGCTGCATCAACATTTCTGTTAGGAGTACACTCAACGCTACCAATGGGACTACCTTTCGGGGAAATGGTGGATGACCATTTATCATGAGAAGAACCAACTTCAATCGATGTATACTCAGAAAGTTCATGAATGCCTGAGAAGCAACTAGAAATCTTATTTTCTGACCCCGGAACCCTCGAGGAATGAATCAAACCATTTCTTGTTTCCTCACAACTACAAGCAGTTAGTTCCCTATGCCGTTTCGTGATGGGAGCAATAATGTCTACATTTTCTTGTTTCTGCTTCCGGCACAAACGGGAGTTTACCACCTTCCTTGATCGCTTGTCCAAGTGTAAATATTTTTTATTCTTCAAGCTACTCAAGAGCATGTTATCAACATCAGGACTAATGGAATGAATATCTTGGTATGGGGCATTAGCATCGAGATCTTTCCTACCAGGAAGCATTTCCCCATTGAATTTAGTTGTCTGGATACTGGCATTATCTGTCTCTCCAGAATCAACATGCATGGTATTGACACTGTCAGATTCATCAGTAGTCTCGTCAGTACTTTCCTCACTAACTTTGGAACAATTTCGCGAAGTCAACATGCTGGAAATTTCAAATGGCAGGCTTCTCAATTCTTTCAATTTATAAGGTTTCCCATCAGTGAGACTAGTATCTACAACCGCAAATTTCATAATATCACTATTGCGATTCGGAGTTTGAGGTTGAAGATAACAATGACGTTGAATTGTAGGCAGATCATGATCTTCTTCTGCTTCAATCTCAAGAAGTTCAGGTTCTTTGGCAATTTTGCTCAAGACATCACTCACTGAATCAAAATAGTGGTCTCCTTTCACTAGTTTCCTTCTAGAGAATTTTCTGACACCAGGAATTAGGAAAACCAAACCATGCTTCAAACCAGCAATAAAGCTCTGATCTTTAGGTTGCTCCGAATGCCAACCTCTTGCTAGTAAACGAGGCCAAACTGCTTCCCAGAATAGATCGTTTGAGCGAGCTTTGCTCAATCGGTAATCTCCTGTTAGAAACTTGATAACTTCACTGGCCGTAAGGGACGACCATGCTCGGCCAGTTGGTATCTCAGGGCGCATAGCAACAACTTGATTGGACCTTGAAGTTTCCAAGGCCATTCTCGTGAGATCTTGCTTTCCTTTACCAATGGCAAATGCTTCTATAAGAACTTTTATCCCAACCACGGCCTTCAAAGAGGATACGTAGTCTTGTAGTGACAATTTCCCCTCCCCAAATGACTTCGAGACCTGCCAAGAAATCGAAATGCACGCATGATTCAACATTTGTCCGCAGTATCTTGCAGTTGTTATAACAGAAACTTGGCAACACGATTCTCTAGATGATTAAGCATCAATTATTTAGAGATGAATGATAAAAACTAGTTGATGCATCTTAGATTTTGAATAGCTTAGATTTTCTACTAAGTTGTCTCTTACGATACAATGTGAAATTAGACTGGATTAGACCACTTTGCTCTCTCTCTCTCTCTCTCTCTGTGTGTGAGCGTGTGGGTGTCTTATCAGAACAAAGACGTTGGTTATCAACAATTGTTGTTATACTTGGTTCACAAAATTTACTATGACCTGTTACTGCTTGAGGCAAATCTTTTTCCTTCACTGCAAGTAGTTTTAATTATATGCAGAAATAATTCATTAAATTACCTCCACTAGAGCATTTTGACATTCTTCTGACATGCTAGGAAGGATGCGAGATATTAATTCCTCTTGCCTCAAACCAGAAAAGATCTTTTGCCCATGTACATACCTCTTGTTTCTCACCTTTCGGCCTTCTGACCATCTACGATAGTTCTCGGAACCATAAAATTTCCCATAATAAAATGATAATATAGCACCGATCTCTTTACTTTCAATGAATTGCCTGAGCTGAACAAAGTTCTTCTCAAAGATGTACAAACCAAGAAGGAAGCTATCCTTCTCGATATCACTCCAAAAATCACTAGGTAATTCAAGAACTAAAAAGTAGCCTCGATCACAGGATTGGTGGAATTTGTCTTCCGTTGGTAAATTTTCTGATTCCTTGATACTATTAACTTCTGAAGAGCTGAAATTTGAAGCAATTTTTAGTTCTTCCCATGTGTCTTGCCTCATGCACCCGCCTCCAGGATTGATCCACACTACTGGTATGGGCAACCCAATAAAGAAGTTGTGGTGGGAATGAACTCCATTCTGTGCATTTGTTGAGTTCCTTGTGTACGAAATATAGAGGGATTTTTCAATAGACGGTGGAATTTCAAGTTGATAATCATCTCCAATTCGAGGAAGGATATCTGGCTCTCCAAAGTCATCACATGCATCAGAAGAGTCTAAGGGAAGTAAATGCTCAACTGACATGATATCAACACACTCTCCATTTTGATCTAAGCGAACAGAAGCCATCTGCCAAAGAAATCAACTAAGTTTCTACTGAATAAAAATACCAGTGACTTCATACAGGCAATCAAATGGTTAAAAATAAAAAGTGTCAAACCAACTTCGATGAGATTTTATGCACTGAGGAACACCCATAAAATAATTCAAATGAGAGAGAAAAAAAAAATGACATTTCAAATGATTGCTCAAATAGGATGTCAAAACTCAAATAGCCACAGATGATAAATAAGCAAAGGATAACTAGAATAGAGTTCATATGCAGCTTAAGATGTTGGGACAACTGCAGCCCAAGATTACTTTCATGACCTATACAATGTCTTAAAACAGAAAGTATATGTAAATGAAATTACTTTTGTAGCATTGTACCAAGTAGACACTGCTGAATGGTTAAACGATTCTTAGTTAATCTTTGCAGCATAGTAAAACCTTGTTTGAGTTTATCTCCAACGTAGATAATAGTTATGGTAGCGGCGCCTCTTTTCTACTATGGAGATTCCATCCATTTGAAATATGCATAATGTTTTTGCAAAGGGTAAAGATATTTGTACATAATTCAATGTACCGAATAATTTACCCCCACTCACATGCACGCAGTCCCTCGTGAATAAAAAAATCCCAAGATGTGGTCCCCACCCCCTATTGTGAGTAGTCGGTAAGGGATTAGACAAAAAATTTCGGTATATGTAACATGGTCCTTTTGCAAATGCAGTTGATATAGTTCCACTTTATTGTTGTACAATTCACCTTACCAATTCAGCGAGTAGCCAACAAAATTTAACTGAATAAACGCGGAATAAGATAAATCATATATCCATTTTTTGATATAAAATAAAGCTATTTTACCATAAAGACAACAACTTTATCACATAAATGACATAACAAACCCACAAAACAAAGCAAGTTCAATTCCGAACTGGCATATCCCTTCTTAGCTCAACTGGCAACCAATCAAAAACCCATCCACAGTTTTCATTCGTACTGTTAAAAATATTCTGGCCAAGCTTTATAAACTTGAAAGCAACATAAACAAAACAATGCACAACAAAACAAAAATCATAAACAAAACCCACGAAGGCACGAACTTTATTGGAAATTCCAATGCGATCCCAATGAATTAAACTCCTAAAATCTCCCAGCCCCATAATTTTTTCCAAGCAAACAAATAAACATAGCTATTACATATGATATTATAAATATGACATGTACCGATAGATGCATGTATATGTATTACAGAAAAAGGGAAAATATTTTGAGGGTATCAATCTTAGGTATATACAAAACTTGTATTTATATATAAAGCAGAGAAGGACTGTACCTGGGTTCTCTTTTAGAAGAGCAAAGGCTTCATGTAATGGTTGAATCAAATAGAGGGAGGGGTATATAGAGAGAAGGAAGGGAAAACAATGTGAGACTGTTTTTTCTCTTGCTTGTAGCAATAGAGAGAGAATTTACTTTTTTTTTTCTTTTCTTTTTCACGAGTTTTAGAGAGAGAAGGGTGAAAAAAGGAAGGCCGGGTGTATTTAAAGGTGTGGAACGGTAATTCTACGCTTCTTCAAATACGATAAATTCTATACTTTTTATAAATAATTATATAATTAACTCGGGTGATAAAATTATTGACGTAGAACACAATTGAACAACAACTGAACAACAACGAGATTGAGAAATAAAAATAAAGATATGAGAAATAGAGAAGGGTGAGAAAATAGAAAGAATTTAAAGGGAGAACATTTTATTCAATATCAAAATCCTATTGAGTCGAGTGTATATTTGGTGATTGAAGGTGATGGTGCTTTTGGAGATGAAAATGGTGATGGTGGAGATGCAGCGTGATCGGAGATTGTGGGCGAGGTGGAGTTGGACCGAAGGTAATTGACTTTTTTAATGGTGGGGCGATGGGAATCTAGAGAATGTGGTGGAGATGATATTTTTTTTGTGGTGGAGATGGCAGGGTGGTGGTGGAGATGATGGCAATTGTGGTGGTTCAGGTAGTTGAAATAGGTGGCAACATTGGCGGTGGTTTTTGTGATGAAAATAGGTGGTGACAATGATTGTAATCGTATTTGTTACATGTGATAATGTTGTAATAATAAATGTTACAAGTGGTGGGGTTAACATTGACACTGGTACAACGCTGAAAGTTACAAATGGTGATGGTACTGATGACAGCAGTGAAATGTGTGTAACACTGTGTTACAAAGAGATGGTGGTGGTGTTGGCGACGAGGATGACAATTGTGGAAAATGGGTGGTGAAATATGTGAAACAAAATTTTACAAAATGTAGCAGTGTCTTACAAAATTATTTTAAAATAATTAAAAAAAGAATAAAAAAAGTTTAAAAGGAAGTATAGTAAACTTTTTTTATGTGTACTTGTGAATTGTTCCCTACATGCATTTTATTAGATATTGGGTCATAATGAGATGCATTCTCATTAATGAGAATTAGGCCGAACAATATCGCTTAGGTTCTCTTTTCACAAGCGATTTTGAAGAGAATTGTGCAATGATATGTGAATTGCGGATGGTTTTTAATGTCATTTTGACCATTGATGTCTCAAATAAATTGTGGTCAAATGGTGCAACAATGTCATAACTAGTCGGAGATAATTTAAGACGTGATTGTTTTGCTTTAGACGTACCGTTACATAAGGTGATGTGTGATTAATGTGGGGCTATGATTCAACTACCCGCACTTAAAAATGATGGATGATGATAAATGAATCCTTTTACACATTTATTTTCAATATGACTATTGTTTATCTATGAATAATGGCCAATGGGGGACTATAACTCTTGTATTTTGTATTATAATTGTGTCCTTTGTAGAGTTATACACGACTTCCGCTTCTATTATTTCAATTTATATATAACATATGATCGCGTAGGGTATGAAAAGGTCTTGTGACCTCAATTCACATGTTACAAAAAGGACTTAATTATCGACGACAATTTAGAGATAGATTGTGGTGAGAGAAAATATTAATTATATAATTAAATTAGGCCACATCCCATATATGATTACATAACAGAATTCTAAGTAAATACCATATATTATTTTTGTATTTTTGTGATGACCTAGTTTTGCAAATTTTACAATATTTAGATATTTCTCAAAATATAACGTTATATAACCCATGGATAAGCCCAGTTTAGGGCCCATTTGGTGAGACCCATAAACTTTGGATAGCCAACTAAGAAATGGGCAGGTTTTGGTTCTTGATAGGGGCACGTATGCTTAAGGCATAATTGGAGATGGAAAAGAATGGCCAAGGCCCATGCGGCCCTGGCCAAGTAGCAGGGTTTAATAGGAGATTGGGGAAATTGGCTATGGATTTTTCTTGGGGCAATTTGCACCAAACTTGGGGATGACTTAGGTTAGTGGCGGACACATTATGAGTTAGGGAGTAATCAAATATGTAGAGATTGAATACATTGTTCTTGTTTTTTGAATGATTCATACACGATCCAAGAAAATGCGGTAAAAAAAATTTCTTCATTAATATTTTGCTTATTATTTTAATCCATTTGATTTCGAACCGTCATTTTATTAATATTTTGCACATCACAAGTAAATGAATATTTACTTTTGAAGAATTTACAGTGTATTTGATACAAATAATCAATTCAAGTAATCAAAANATTTGATACAAATAATCAATTCAAGTAATCAAAAGGAAAAATATATAATCAATATTCAATATTAATAATCAATCAAAGAAACACAATTCGTTAAATATAAGTCAAATTGGACATAATTATTTCAGATTCATTCTATATACACAATTTGTATAGGATAAAATGCAAATTTAAGCACTAATTTGATAAAAATTTGATTGGGAAGTGAAAATTTATAGTGGATGCAATAATTTGTAAAGGAATTATAGACAAATTTTTAAAAAGTTAGAATGATTAAGATTTTAGTAAAAAGCATGAGGGAGAGTGGTGCGAGAGTGAAAGAGAAAGAGAAAAGATTAAAAAAAAAAATTAAATCTATTGTGATTTTGGCCCGATTTGATGGGGATTAAAATTAGATTTTTTAGTAAATTTTGTTAAAAGTTGAAAAATTGTGTCTCATGAAATATGTTATTAAAATTAATTATTATCTTTGATTTATATTAAAATTTAGATTTTAATCCATATCCAATAGGACTTTATAAAAAAAAAAATTCCCAAAATTTTGGGGGTCACGTGACCCTAGGATCTCTCTCCTATATGTCCGTCCCTTATTCAAGTTGTTAATGAGGAGAAATGAGAGATATGTTCAAAACCCTCTAAGACAATTGTTGAGAACTTGATCAGGCATGAAATGAAAATCAATGGCAATGTGTTTCATACAATCATACGGGAGTGAAAAACAAGATTTTTGCTCAAATAGGTGGCACCAATATTGTCACAAAAAAATGTTGGAGCAGCAGGGATGTGAATGTGAAGTTCTTGGAGCAGATTAGTGATCTAGTTTAACTCAGCAGTGGTAGAAGCAAGGGCACGATACTCAAATTCAGTGGAAGATCGAGTAACTGATGTTTGCTTCTTAGAACTCCAACTAATCGGAGTAGCACCAAGGAAGACAACATGAGCAGAGGTAGAGGTACGGTCATTATAGTTACCAGCCCAATCAGAGTCGAAGAAAGGATGAAGTTGAGCAGAGGGGCGATTGCGTATCAAAATACCATGTGTACTTGTGCCCTTGAGTTAAAGCAGCAAATGTTTAACAGTAGACCAATGAATTAGCTATCGACAATGCATGAATTGTGACAATTTATTGACAGTAAAAGAGAGATCAGGCCGAGTCAAGGAAAGATATTGTAATGAACCAAGTACTCTGCGATATTGTGTAGCATCAGTTACTGAACTACCATCATAAAGCTTAAGAGTCTCGGTAGGGGATAGCGGCGTAGACACGGGGTTAGCCTCTTGCATGTTGTTTTTTGAGAGAAGATCACAAATATATTTTGATTATGCAAGAAAGAGGCCGTGAGGAGTGGATGTCTCAACCCACAAAAAAATATTGTAAGGGACTAAGATCTTTGAGTGAAAACCGAGTAGCCAAAATACCAATGAAATCCGAAATAGCCGAAGAATGATCCCCTATGATGATAATATCATTAAGATAGACAAGCAAGTAAAGTGTGGTAGAGCCTTGATGCATGGTGGAGCAGAAAAGATCGCAATTCTTGATACCATGCAAGTGGAGCTTGACGTAGACCATATATAGCTTTGTGAAGTTGGCATACATAGTTAGGGTACCGAGAGTGAACAAAACCTAGAGATTGCTGCATGAAGACTATATCAGTAAGAGTGCCCTCCAAAAAGGCATTGTTAACGTCCAATTGACGTAGTTGCCAACCACGAGCGACAGGAAGAGTCAGGATGAGTCGAACCATTGTGGGTTTAACAACGGGACTGAAGGTATCGGTAAAATCCACGCCCGGGCGTTGATGAAACCCTTTGGCAACTAAACGTGCCTTATAGCGAGTAATGGTGCCATCGGGATTCCTCTTAATCTTAAATACCCATTTAGACCCAACAACATTTTGTGTGTGATGAGGGGGAATGATAGTCCAAGTAGAATTGTGTACAAGAGCATCATATTCCTCGCTCACAGCTTTTCTCCAATGAGAAGATTTTTGAGCTTGAAGGAATGTAGAAGAATCAAAAGTTTCTGAAAATGTAGTATAAAGGTCAAGAATTTTACGAGGCTTGTTAATATTATTTTGAGATCTGGTTATAATTTGTGTTTTGGGATTCCAAATGCAGGTGGAGGAAGAGAAGATGAGGAGGCTTTTGCCGGAGTGAAAGATAAAAGAGGGGGAATTGGAGGTGAGTTTCTGAAACTGAGGGGTCATGGAGAAGAATGGATGGTGGGAATGGAGTGAGGGACTCAGTGGCAGGTGGCAGCGAGTGGTTTAACACGCCGTAGGGATCAAAGTGGACATAATTAGAGAGTTAAACCCAGTGACAAATTAGGGTTCTTAGAGAGAGAAAGAGATCACTTAAGGATGAATTGTCTTCTAATTCATATGATGTTAGAGCACTTAAGAATTTAATGGAAATCAAAATAAAGAGTAAGAAGATTCCTAAAGCTTTTGGTATTCTTGACAAATTAATAGAGCTTGAGCCGGATGAACGTGAGTGGCCATTGTTGAAAGCCCATTTGCTTGCTTACAATAGAGAGATTGAATTGGCGAGAAGGGGGTTTAATGAGCTGCTGAAAATTGATCCTTTTCGTGTGGAGGCATATCATGGTCTGGCGACAGCAGCTTCTCAAGAGGAGTCAAGTGAGGAATTGGAGAAAATTGAGAAGAAGGTGGAGGAAGCGATGAAATTATGTAAAAAGGAGAATAGGAAAAGTGATTTAAGGGATTTCAAGCTCTTATTTGCTCAGATCCGTGTGATCGAGGGAAATTACGATGAGGCATTGAAGGTATATGAGGAGTTGGTGAGAGAAGAGCCAAGGGATTTCAGACCAATATGATACCATATTAAGAATTTGGGGTTCTATCTTAAAATGTCAACCCTATTAAGAGAAGTAACCAAATTCTTTATAAGTTGATTTATGTTTACATCTTTATTCGATATGAGATTCTATCCCTTAACATACCCCCACAAGATGGTGGCTCGTTTGAGCAGATTAATCTTGAAATCCGTATGCTCACTTTTGAAGTTTTAACCAGACCGAATTGCTCGTTAGAGCTTAATAGACTCTGATACCATAAAGATTTTCAGAATATGGTGGAAGAATTGTTGTATTTCTGATTATGTAATTGAGAGGTATTTATACAAGAGTTTTGGCAATATGGCCAATAATTAGTGATGGCAAAAAAACCCGCACCGTCCTGCCCCCCTCCCAAATGAGGCGAAAAAAACCCGCCTCGACGGATTGGTGGGGAGGGGCGGGGAGAGGGTGCCCAGCCCCGAAGTGTCCCAAACCCGCCCCGTGAAAAATAAAAAAAATAATTAACTACAAATTAAAAATAAAAATAGTTAATTGGAAGTTTTTGAAAAAAATAAAAATAAACGGGGCAAGCCCGCGCCCCGAACCCGCCCCGTCTAAGGTGGGGCGGGGCATGGGCAGGACGGGGTGGGGGAGTGGCGGGGCAGGGTGGGGTGATGATGCCCAGTCCCGAACCCGCCCCATTGCCATCTCTACCAGTAATCATGCTCTATGACAGAGAGCAATACATGACTCTAATTATAGAAGATTTACACATTAATGATAGAGAAATTAAAATAAGATATTAGCACAAAATAAGTCAATATTAAAGCCTAAGATTTCGGTCTATCAGTATTGACTCATTGGAGACGAAAAACTTTGACGCCATAGCATGATCGCGGATCAACTATATGACATATGACTTGTAGTGATTTTTGTGACAATGCAGAGCCATCATCATCACTAATCACTAGAGGAATGTCTAGAATTTCATTTATTTTATCGTTATATTCTTATAATTCATGTCATGTTTAAAATAAAAAAGAGTTCGCCTACGTGCACAGGAAAAAAAAACTCACATAAAACACACAAATAGGTGGGGCCCTTTTTTTGCAATATTAATTCACATGAGGCCCACCCCTATATGAGTATCTGTTCATTTTTTGTCTGATTTTTTCTGTGCAAGCAGAAAAAATCAATAAAAAATATTTATTTGAGAAAGCGTTTGGAAAATAAAGTCTTCAATGGTTTGGTCTCTTAGAGATTTCGGGTTTATTCAAGAGCTTGTACATGATGATGATTATGTATATCACACCTTTAAATATTTAAACGTTCTCTATATACAAAACGTTCTTTATTTTAGAGATTGTTAATGCTTAAATATGAGCTCAAAGAGATTTCTTATTTTAATTTTTTAAAATAAAGAGTGTGTTTTGCTTTTCAAATTTAGAGAGTCAATCCATTTTCTATTCTTCCTTGTCCTATTACATTAACTCGTAAATTCATGGCAACCTCTCAATGAAACACACTACTAGAAAGTGAGGCTTCAGAAATGAAATTGTTATACACAGATGTATTTCATTGGTAATAATGACCTATTACCGATGAATATACGCTAAAAAAACTATGAGTAACTTTGGAAAATAAGAATACATGCTTTAGCGATTGAATTAACAACGACATACAGTTGTCCTTGGACCATGAGTTTCCATTGCTGAGGCTATAGTAAATTTTTGAATAACCTTTTTATATAAAATATAAAAATTCAGACACACTTGCAGTTTGTAGTTAAGCCACAAATTAAAAAAAGATTAAAAATTAAATTATAATAAATTGACAAATCCGTCGGTTATAGGGCAATGTTCGTTTGTAATATGGTTGAAACAATTAGGGTGCGTTTAATTGATTTTATTTTTCATGAAAAATATTATTTTTTCACTCAAGTTCATACTTTTGAGGCGTTTCATTGATATTTTTTTAATGTAAAATATTTTTCAACTTTTGATCACGTGATAATATTTTCCTTAAAAATAAGGAAAATGTTTTCTTTGGAGAAGGGTAAGTTTTTATTTTCCAGACAATTCACTATATTTCTCTTCTATCCACAAATAAAAGATGTACAAGTATCAAACACATTTAAGTAATAATTTGCAAGCAAATAATTTCTAGACAATAAAATTGTCTAGAATTTATTTTCTTTCTATACAAGTTTCATACTTGCAATAAAACACACCATTAAAAAATTTCAGCCACGTGATGCTTCTGTCGGTAACTAATTGAAAAAAATAAAATATAATATAATATCTATAAAGACACAAACGGCCTTCTCACATGTAAGTAGTTTCAAAATATTTTTTATTTTGGGTAATTATATTATCACTACAAATTTTATTAAATGCACTACAATTTTCTTATTTACTTAAATATTCTTAAGTAAAATTATATAATTAGGGTTTTAATATACTTTTTAATTAAATAAATTATTGTTACACCACGAATATAAAACATAACTTCTTTCTTTCTTTTTCCTTAGCATCTCATTGCTTAAAACTACTTCAGCGGCTTTTGCTTTCTTCCATGGAGACAGGATAATTTTCTTTTTTTCACGGTAAATAAATTCATACTCTATTTTACCATTGTATCTCAATTACTTTTGCGTTGTGTGTATATTAATTCTTCTTTTTTCACACTGCTTCTACATGGGGCAAATCCTTTCATTCGTCCCACTTAATTTTTCTCAAGGTTGTTTTATTTTGAGATCGTGGGCAAAGGGTTTCATGACATAAATAAAAATTATATTAAAAATATGCATATGGACGAGAATGATTATTTTAAAATTTTACATATTTGATGAAGGGCCAGTGAAGATTGAAGAGTTTGGATCAAAACGTAATTTATGTAAAGATTTAGACCATTTGCGTCCATGAAGTTGAGTGTTAGTCAGTGTAAGAAAGAAAAGAAAAAGATAGAAATTTAATTGTGGATTATTTATTAAAACCGATAATTCTTCTTTTTTATTATTTTTATTAAATTAGGTGTATAATTGTAAGTTCGTTGTAGTGTATTTATTAAAACTATATTTTAATCGTGGTTTGAATATAATTTTATTGAAGGAAGTTACCATCTTTATGGAAATAAATATTCCACAGTATTACAGAGATTATTTCCTTGTCAATTGTTATTTTCTTTCCTTGATTAGTACTTTGATTCCTGGTTATATTATATAGGGATGATGTACGGTTGTTAACATTAAGGCAAATTAATTCCTTCCATACAAAAACCTAACATGGTATCAGAGCCAGGTTGAAGAAATCCATACCTTGCCATGGCTGAACATGCCCTTGCTCCTGCCCTTGACGTCACCAAATCACTAACAGATGTTTCATCCCCTTATTTCTTACATTCATCAGATCAACCAACTCAATTCCCTGTTGATGCTCCTCTGAATGGGGACAATTATCCTGCTTGGCGTCGATCGATAACACGAGCCTTGAATGCCAAAAACAAACTTGGTTTTGTCCTCGGCACCATCGAACGCCCAACCACAGACAGCCGCTGCACTCCTTTCGGATCGATGTTGCGACATGATAATGTCTTGGTTGCTTCATTCCATTGATCGTTCTCTCATCGGAAGTCCTCTTTATTGTTCAACGCCCCATGACTTATGGGTTGAATTGGAAACCAGATTCCAGCAAAGCAACAAGACGAAAATTTTCAGCTTCAAACGTGATCTTGCCAATCTTCACCAAGAACACCAGTCAATCACTAACTACTATGGAAAACTAAAAGAGCTATGGGATGAATTAGCCTCCCTCCAACCCGTCAATACATGTACATGTGGGGCAGCAAAGACCATGTTAGAGACTCAAGATTCGGACAAGGTTTATCAATTTCTCTTAGGATTAAATGACAGTTTCCAGCAACTCTGGTCACAAATTCTGGCCACTGATCCATTACCTTCAATTGGGCATTGTTACGCCATTCTTCACCAAGAGGAAACCCAGAGATTGGTCCAGCCTACTTCTCGCCCAGAAATTTCGGCTTCGCTCACCCGCTCAACACCACAGCAACACCCAACCCGTCCACGCCTCGTTTGGCTAGTCGGCACACCATTGTGCAAAGAGTGCAGCAAACCTTGCCATTCTCGTAACCGGTGTTTTAAGATAGTTAGGTATCCTGAATGGTAGCCATCCGAAAATAAAAGGGATGCACCTGCTTCTTCGTTGCCAGCGAAACCCCAACATCGATCTGCTCATTTACCGCCGGCGGTCCACCACATCTTGGCCAGCTCTGCAAATCCCAACGTGAGTGCTGTTCCTGGATTATCCGCTGATCACTATGCCCAACTCCTGGAACTTCTCAAACCCAGCAGCCACTCCTTCACAGGTTCTCTCGTTTCTCCTTTTCCCTCTAAGCAATGGGTTATAGATAGTGGAGCGACACATCATATTGCCACCTTACCCATTAAAAATTCACCTAGTAGCATTTGTCCCTCGTTTGTTTGCCTCCCCACAGGTACTCACGTTCCCGTGTCTAGTGTGGGTGACGTTACTCTATCTCATAATCTCACTCTTTCAGATATTTTATCTATCCCTGATTTTCAATTTAATTTATTATCGGTCAGTAAATTAACAAAATCTTTGAATTGCGTTATTTTTTTTTCCTATCTTCTGCACTTTTCAGGACCTCGCTACGAAGATGCTGATTGGTGTGGGTGATGAGCGTAACGGACCTTACTACTTCAAACCCGCTCCCGCGACTGCTCTTCAATCATCGAGTCCTATTTCTTTTGATACATGGCATCAACGTTTGGGTCATCCTTCTTTACATCATATTCCTAGATTTATTCCTCGCCCCCAGTAATTGAACATTGTGCCATATGTACTGGTGGAAAACACACTCGTTTACCTTTTCAATTAATTGATAATAAAAGATTGATGCCTTTTGATCGTATATTTTGTTATTTTTAGGGTGGTTATCATACAGCTTCTTTATCTGGTGCTCATTATTTTTTGATGATTGTTGATGAATACACTCTATTC